GCATCAATTTATGAGGCAACACCACTGGTTGCCATCCCAGTGGCACCACCAACAAACTGGGAACTGAAAGCCCAAGCCAAAAACCCCACCGACAGACAGCCCCCGCCAGCAAAACGTAATTTATTGAGTCTGACGCTTGTCAGCGGCGTGTGAAGTGGCTGCCAGCAGCAGCTGCCAATTTCTGGGGGCCAGGCTCCATCTTCTGGGCCAAGTTTACGCTTAGGCTGTCGCACCGAACCCTTTGACAACTTTTGGGCCCGAACGGAAATGAAAGGCGATGGCAAACATTTGCCGAAACTATAGGTGGGCCGTCAAAAGTGGCAATGCCTTGATGAGATTACCAAGTTAACAGTTGGCCTCTCAAGCGGCTAATTCCACAGAGAAAAATCCACAAAATTAATCAATCTTTGGGTTTTGTCAAAAAATCAAAGCCAAACTTTATGCTTTATTTCAAAAACACGTTTAAAATTATTTAATTTAAAAAAAAAAATTGTAAAATTAAGAATGACTGTTTTGATCAGCAAACAACATAAGATAACGATATGCATCACTTCTGGGTAGATTTTTTGGGATATCTAAATTTTGGTCAATTTTCGACTTTTTCACATCACATTTTTTTGCAAAAAATGGTCAAAAAATAAAGTTTTTAGGTGTGAACGCCAATCGATTGGAAATTTTATAACGAGTTCAACGCGGTATGACATTCCATTTTTGGACAATATTTATGTTTGTTTCGACCAAATTCTTCAATTTTTTAGCGGAAAATTTGGATTTAAATTTTGGTGCGAAACCAGGAACTTTTTGGTGTGTTTTTTTGCCGTAATTTCGATAAAGAAAGTGCCAGAGCAATAAGAATGACTGTTTTGATCAGCTAACAACCTAAGCTAACGATGTGCATCACTTCTGAGTAGATTTTGGGAAATCTAAATTTTGGCCAATTTTCGATTTTTTCATAAGGGGTTACACCACATTTTTTTGCAAAAAATGGTCAAAAAAAAAAGTTTTTAGGTTTGAACGCCAATCGATTGGGAATTTGATAACGAGTTCAACGCGGTATGACACTTCATTTTTGGACAATATTTATGTTTGTTTCGTCCAAAATTCTGAAGTTTTTTGCCGAAAAATTTGGATTTAAGTTTTGATGCAAAAACAGGAACTTTTTCGTGTGTTATTTTGTCGTTATTTCCATAAATAAAGTGCCAGAGCAATAAGAATGACTGTTTTGATCAGCTAACAACCTATGCTAACGATGTGTATCACTTCTGAGTAGATTTTGGGAAATCTAAATTTTGGTCAATTTTCGATTTTTTCATAAGGGGTTACATCACATATTTTTGGAAAAAATGGTCAAAAAAAAAAAGTTTTTAGGTTTGAACGCCAATCGATTGGGAATTTGATAACGAGTTCAACGCGGTATGACACTTCATTTTTGGACAATATTTATGTTTGTTTCGTCCAAAATTCTGAAGTTTTTTGTCGAAAAATTTGGATTTAAGTTTTGATGCAAAAACAGGAACTTTTTCGTGTGTTATTTTGTCGTTATTTCCATAAATAAAGTGCCAGAGCAATAAGAATGACTGTTTTGATCAGCTAACAACCTAAGCTAACGATGTGCATCACTTCTGAGTAGATTTTGGGAAATCTAAATTTTGGTCAATTTTCGATTTTTTCATAAGGGGTTACATCACATATTTTTGGAAAAAAGGGGTCAAAATAAAAATTTTCGACTTTGAATACAGATTGATCGATAACTTTATTACGAGCTCAACAAGGTATGACATTCCATATTTGGACCATTATTTCTCTTTTTATGATCAAAAACAAGGTGGAAAATTGAAGATTCAAGACTTTTGGATGTAGCGCAATATTCCTGGGTTGACCACTATTTTAAACAATCTTAATATAAGAACACAGAGTTTATTTGCCTTCTTATAAGAATACCTAGCATCAACATGACTTTAATAATCTAGCAGAACAAATTGCCCCCAAATTATATTAAGAATGAAAAAGGAAACTGATAGTGTTGCATTATTTTTTCTCTGTATCACATTCCTTGGAAAACGGAACCGGAAAGGGAGAACGACACATTAAAGACTCCCCACCTTTCCGGCCCCGTCAGCCGCTATCTTCATCTGGCGAAGGCACTCCTCCCTTTCTCCACGCAGGAGGCACATCCTCCAGATGTCTTCTTGCCGTGAAACAGAGCCCGCAGCCAAGTCGAAAGACAACTGCGGCTTTTATTGTTTCCGCTGTTGACATTATCACGGCAGCGACACCTGCCGGGCGGGCTCGGCTAGCGTTTTATTGTTTTGCGCCTGATGCAATGTGACAGCCCGCCCTTATTTCTTCCCCACTTACTTGCTCGCGTGCGAGGACATCAGGCATTTGCACACAGCTAGCAGCTAACAGTCAATATTGCGCATACGCCGCGTGGCTCCATTAAGATAATTAAAAGCCGTCGAGTCACGCTGCAGTTGGCCAAAGGATTAGGTCGATAAGGCGGGCCAAATGCGGCAACAAGTCAGCAAGAAGAGGAAGTATCCTTCGGGACGGCCAAGACGCTCTATTAACCAACTGCCGCTGAATAATTAGACAGCATCCGCTTTCGTTTCCGCTTCCGGTGGCGTCTGCTCGCATAAATTACATCGTCTATTGCCAGGGGCAAAAAAAAACGACAGCCTTCATCTGAGAGGTCCTTAAAAATCAGTAGCCCAGCTGCTGCTGCGGTCTGTTTTCCCAAGGACAAGGAAAAGTCGACAACCCGGCTTTTGTCATCGCCAGTTGGCGGCAAATTGTGATTTAGTGCGGCGCATTTCTTTTCAGCGCCCCGCGGTCCGAATCAAAAGTGCATAAATATTGCCAGCTCGAGTTGCCGCATTGATATCATTTACATTTCCGTCGGAAGCGTTTACACGACTGTCACTGCTCTTATTTATTATGCATTCGGCTGCCATTGAAGCCCTATTTTTTGCACACACCACTCAATTACGAATGCACAATGCTTCGGGGGCAAAAACGCTAACTGGAATCCATCTAAATTACTTTGGAACGATGATTGGATGTCGATTAAAAAGATGGCAAATTGAGCACTACAATTTAATTACCAAAATTGACGGCGGCAATTTCGGCCAAACTCGAGTAAATTGCCCGACCGTTACAAGCGAAATGCCCAAATGGGAAATCCTTTGTTGGGGGTTCGAATCAATGATATCGTTCAGTGGGAAAATAAAGATAGAGCTGGGAACAGCAAAACATTAATACATGATACTGCTTCAGAATCTATAGCCTTATTAAAGCCCCGCCTTTTCAAATATACATGTGTTTTATTTGTCAAATCTCTGTCATATCTGTTGCCTGATATGCCAGTCCTCCAAAAGCATTACAGCCATCAACTCAGCAATGCAAACGCTTGCATTTTACGAGAATTGTTTATTTGGAGTGCAACGATGCATTGTTGCCACACTGATCCCATTTTGCCATGTTCATGGGGCAACCGTCAAAGGGACAACAACTCCCAAAAAAGAGACCCGAAAAGAGGAGCCATAACCATTTTTTATGCAACGCTTTTTGCGGTCGCCGTTAACGCTGATTTATGAGTGTTAAGTTAATTTGGGCTGCCATCCCCCCACGCCCACGAATCCCTGATTGGGCCGCCATCCCCGGCCGCAGTGCATCCAGGTCCCACTACTTCATCATTCTAGGCAGCAGTTCATGCAACTCATGCATGTTTGAACGGCACCACCGCCACCATAAACTCACCCACCACCCACAAGACCACCCAGCACCACCCACAACCATCCAATCGAAACCACCCGAACTGCAGCCAGCAGGATGCAAATAGAGGCTCCGTTGAAATGCACTTTGAGTTATAGTCAAAATATAAAACGCACAGTTGCATTTACGAGGCCATAGACTGCGCCCGGGCAAATGGAGAGCGATGGCATTTTACACCTTCACCTGCGGGGGCACTAAAAGGTTAAATGCTGAATTATCCGACATTCTTGCGGGGTCATGCGAGTGCCAAGTCGGCTACTAAGTACACCAAATATCACCATGTCAATGGTAATGCCATTCATTTATATTTATCCAAGTAGGTTCAATAACTTCATTCATAAAATAGAATGCTATTTCCATCTGCAGATTGTGAGTGTGCTCAAAAAAATTCACATTATTGACCATACTGTTTAACAAGAGTTACAAATAACAACAATATAATAGTTATCCTAAAAAAAGTTCTGAATAACAAATCACGCAAACAATGTTCGTAGAAATGTTCAACTTGTATATTATTTACTGGTATTGTATCCCAACGCTTTAAAAATCTATAAACTTGTAGTTGTTAGGTAATCCCATCTATTAGAAACAAAACCTTTGAACTTTATTAAAAATAAAAACCACTTATATATCGCAAATAATATGTAAAACTATTCCAGTAAATGTGTTAACAATTTTAGAGCAACTTTGAAATTTTAATTTTTATCAATTCGCCTTATTTATGTCTAGAAAAAAAAACTAACATGCCTATAATTATGGTAAGGTATTCAAAAGTATGGAAAACGCGGTACAATACACAGACCTCTATATGTACCGCCCTCTGTTCAGAATAAATAAGAATGAATGAAAAACCCCTCTAGATGGCAAACAAGACCATGTTGGCGAAGGCAAAACACCCTCCTAGATGGCAGTTCAGCGATGAAAGAACCCCAATAGATGGCAAAATCAGAGCATGCGTATTAGGGGTGGTTAGAGAAAGAGACGGGTATTACGATTAAAAGTAGATAGCTATAGCTATCAAAAGAAAGAGAGCACTCTATAGTATAAGGGGATGTTTTTAAATATAATTTCCCAGTTGGCGCCAGGGCAAGTATATATTCTCAAGTTATCAATCGCCAAATTATCTAAACATACCTGTTATCAGCTAGTTTTATGACTCTCACTGAACTGGAAAGCACTTTCTGGGGTAAGTTCAGATAAGATTGCGCTCAGTTTGGGACAGAGCTCCGGCATGAGCTGACTTACTGTGTAAAAATGCGCCTGGGCTGTGCTTGGCTGGCGCTCGGCCTACTTTTGCACCTGAATCTTCAACTGGACATGGGTCTGGCGGCCAATATCCTGGGCGTTTTTCCGTACCGCCTGCCCTCTCCTTTTCAGATGGTAAGGCCCCTTGTGAAGGCTCTAGTTAAGCGGGGTCACAGTGTTACAATGATCACACCATTGGGTTATTTACCCGACATCGAAGGAGTTCGTCACATACGAGTTCCCGAGCTAAATAGACTCATGGATGGTGAGTCACTTGGAATTTTTCTAACATATTATGGTGAATAAACTCCATTTTAATTTCCCAACAGAGCTAGTGGAAACGGACAAATTTCTGGACTTGTTGGGCAGTAAATGGAGGGAGGGTCGTCTGGCTGCTAAGATCCTTTACAACGTTTCACATGCCATCCTCGGCAATGATGGAGTCCAAAGAATGTTGCGCGATAAAAGCGAGTGGTTTGATATGATTATTTTAGAGGCCAGTCACCTGGATGCACTTTACGGATTTGCCGAGTTTTACAATGCTTCCCTGGTCGGAGTATCTTGTTTAAACATTAACTGGAACATTGACTATTTGGCGGGAAATCCCGCTCCAAGTGTTTATGAACCCGTTTCCCCGATAGGATTCGCTCTTGATTACTCACTCCTTAGCCGATGGCACAATTGGATTTATATAACGGAGGAGAAGCTGTTGGAACGCCTTGTTTTTAGACCCTCCCAGCTGAGAGTTTTCAAGAAGTTCTTCGGCTATCCCGCACAAAAGCTTAATGAGCTAAGAGAACGATTCTCTATAATCCTGGTCAACAGCCACTTTAGTATGGGAAGGGTGCGTGCGAATGTACCTAACATCATAGAGGTTGGAGGCCTTCATCTAAGTGAACCCCCGGAACCCTGTGATAAAGAACTGCAAAAATTTGTGGACGAGGCGGAGCACGGTGTCATATATTTCTCCATGGGCCTGGACGTAATGGTTAAATATCTGCCAATCAATATGCAGCAAACTCTCCTGCAGACCTTTGCTAGGCTGAAACAGCGTGTGGTTTGGAAGAATGAGTTCTCCATGATGCCCTACAAATCAGAAAACATATATGTGATCGATAGAGCTCCCCAGCGGCAGTTACTCGCCCATCCCAATGTCCGGCTTTTTATAAATCATGGCGGGTTACAGAGCGTGATAGAGGCGATAGATAGTGGAGTTCCGATGCTGGGATTTCCACTCTTCTTCGATCAGTTCAACAATTTGCATCGGGTGCAGTTGGCTGGAATGGCCGAGGTCCTGGACACCAATGATTTGAACGCAGATACTCTCACCGAAACTATCAGGGAACTACTCGAAAATCCTAGCTATTCCGAAAGAGCAAAGGAAATGTCAATATCCTTCAGGGATCGACCTATGAGTCCTCTAGATACTGCTATTTGGTGGACTGAATATGCCCTACGAAATCGGGATACCAACCACATGCGACTCAATATGGAGGAGATTCCTCTGATGCGATATTATAGACTGGATACGTTGCTCACCTTTGGAATTCGCTTTGGATGCGTCTTGGGATCGATTTCCTTTCTGTGCTGGAGATTGTATCAGAAACACCGGAATAGACAGAGACGTCTTCTTGAGAGAAGAAGAGCTTTCATGCAAATGCAGATACGAATGATGATGCTTGAATGTGAAACCGCCTCTTAGATTCCATACATTTGTAAAAACAAAATAAGGTAAATTATTTTTAGACCTCGTAGTATTTACGATCATTGACTGATATCTGTCTGCGATCGTGGTTTTCTTTATCTCATAAACAGTTCATATCTTATCTATTCAATTGTTTGGAATAGTAAGGCACCAGTTGTGACAAACAAATGCCTATTTACTTCTTTATATTAGAGTTGAAAAATTGTTTTTAATTCTTATTAAATGGACATTTTGTTGTAAAAAGTCCATGTATTACCTTTTTTTGCAGAAGAGTGTAAAACCAAAGAACTTTCACATTCCAATCAAAAGTTTAACAAGCAATATTTAACGACCTATTTTGTTGTTACTGCTTGTCAATAATATGGAACCTTTATGGTTTCGTTAAAGGTAGATTAGATTGTGCTCATTTGAGGACAGAACTCCGACATGAGCGGACTGAAATAGTGAAATGCGCCTCGGGTATTATTGTCTGGCACTCGGGCTTTGCCTGCTCTTGCAACAGGACCTTCACCAGGACTTAGTACAGGCAGCCAATATCCTGGGAATATTTCCTTACCACATCATTTCGCCCTATTTGGTAATGCAACCATTTGTTCGCACTTTAGTAAAAAGGGGCCACAATGTGACTCTTATCACACCTGAGGGCATGCCAAACGATCTGGATGGAGTTCGCCATATACGAGTTCCCAAGCTTAATATACGCATAAAGCGTGAGTCACTTTCTTTAGAATTGAATAAAACTCTTTATAATTTTCCTTTATTACAGAAATGTTAGAGTCTGATCAACTTCTTGACTTTATGATTAACAAATGGACGGAGAGTGCTCTTACAGCGAAAGTGCTTTTCAATGCCTCCCATGATATTTTGAGTGATCCTGGTGTTCAAAGAATGTTACATGACCGTAATGAGAGGTTTGACCTAATCATGATGGAGCCGACTAATCTGGATGCTCTCTATGGCCTGGTGGAGTACTACAATGCCACTTTGATGGGCTTTTCTAGTGTGCGGATTAACTGGAACATCGAAGAATTGGCGGGAAATCCTGCGCCAATTGTTTACGAGCCCATCTCTCCGATAGGTTACTCCTTGGACAGCTCCTTCTTGAGCAGGATTTACAACTGGATCCATATAACGGAGGAGAAATTTCTGGAGAATCTCATGATTCGACCGGCTCAACTGCGCATTTTCCAGCAATTCTTCGGATATTCAGCGGAGAAGCTGAATGAGCTGCGGACCAGATTCTCAGTGATCCTAAGCAACAACCACTACAGTTTGGGAAAAGTTCGGGCCAATGTACCCAACATCATCGAAGTGGGCGGTCTGCATCTTAGTGAACCCCCAGAACCTTGTGATGAGGATCTGCAGAAATTTATGGACGATGCAGAGTACGGTGTCATCTATTTCTCCTTGGGACTGGACATATTCATAAAGTTTCTTCCGATGGATATTCAGCAACCACTACTGCAGTCATTTGCCAAACTAAAGCAACGGGTGATTTGGAAGAACGAGCTCTTCAGTGTGCCCAACAAATCGGATAACGTGTATGTTATTGAGAAGGCCCCTCAACGAAGCATTTTAAAACATCCCAAAGTGCGGCTTTTTATCACAAATGGAGGATTATTAAGTGTGATGGAGGCGGTGGACAGTGGAGTTCCTATGCTAGGATTACCGATGTTTTTTGACCAATTCGGTAATTTGCGTTGGGGAGAATTAGCTGGCATAGTCGAGGTCTTGGATATCAATGCTCTAAATGAAGAAACTTTGACCACAACTATTCAGAAAATTATCGAGAACCCCAAGTATGCTCAGAGGGCAAAGGAAATGTCGCAACTCTTCAGGGATCGACCCATGAGTCCACTGGATACGGCTGTCTGGTGGACAGAATACGCCTTACGAAACCGTAATATATCCCGAATGCGACTCAATGTGGAGGAGATTCCCCTGATTCAGTACTACGCAATAGACAGCATCCTCACTTTTGGCTTTCGATTTGGATTAATCGCAGTGTCAGTTTTCTTCTTGTGCTACAGTTTGTTTCATAAAAGTCGAGGCAGACAGAGATTTATGAGATGATTGTTTTAATAAAGTATTTGTTACAATCTACCACTTCCTTGATTTTTTCTTTTATATTTATTACCCTTTCAACATTTTCAAAACCATTAACATAACGTTACATTTTAAATAGTTAGATAAAGGCGCGATAAGGAATTTATTAACTGCTATCTTAACTTTAATAACAACATTTACTCAATTGAAAACCATGACCGCTCTCTTTCAATCGAAAATGTATTAGTTATCAACTTACTCGCAAACCGAACGAAACTTTAATGGGTTTTATGACACATTAGATTAGATTTAGCTCATTTGTGATCAGAGCTCCGAAATGGACGGACTGAAAACGTGAAAATGCGCTTTGGATTTTCTTGGCTAGCAGTCGGCGTGTGCCTACTTTTCCACCCAAATGTGAACCTTAACCTGGCGCAGTCGGCCAACATCCTGGCCATATTTCCATTCCACTACGGTTCTCCTTTTTTGGTGGCGCGACCTCTGATTAAGACCCTAGTGAAACGAGGATACAATGTAACCTTGATCTCACCACAGGGCTTGCCACCCAATATCAAAGGAGTTCGACATATACGCGTTCACAAACTCAATAAAAGGATGCAAGGTAAGGAAGCTAGGGAATCCTTGTGTATTAAAACATTACCTAACTTCATGGAATTGAATAAACCTTTGTATTTTCACTTTAGAAATAATCGAGACTGACAAAATTTTGGATTTCTTGATTAACAAATGGATGGAGAGCATTATGGCTGCCACAATGTACTTCAATATGTGCCAGGATATCCTGAGCGACGATGGCGTTCAGAGAATGCTCAAAGACAAAAGGGAGCACTTTGACCTTATCATGATGGATGCCAGCAACCTGGATGCACTTTACGGCCTGGTGGAGTATTACAATGCCACTCTGATTGGCCTAACCAGTATAAGTGTCAACTGGTACACCGAAGAGCTAGCTGGCAATCCCGCGCCCAGCATCTATGAACCTATCTCTCAAATAGGATACTCCAGGGACCATTCTATACTGAGTAGAATTTACAACTGGATTCACATTAATGAGGAGAGGTTGATAGAGCATCTGGTCATTCTACCAGCTCAACTGCAGGTCTTCAAAAAGTTCTTTGGCTACTCGGACCAGAAATTCTATGAACTGCGTAACAGGTTCTCCGTGATCTTGGTTAATAATCACTTCAGTTTGTGCAGGGTGCGATCTAATGTGCCCAACCTCATCGAGGTGGGTGGTTTACATCTGAGCGAATCCCCAGAACCATGTGACAAGGAGTTGCAGAAATTTATGGACGACGCAGAAAACGGTGTCATCTACTTCTCCATGGGCCTGGACATATTGGTAAAGTTTCTTCCGGAAAATCTTCAGCAAACACTGGTGAAGTCACTCGCAAAGCTAAAGCAGCGGGTTGTTTGGAAGAACGAGATCTTTAGTATGCCTAACAAGTCGGAAAACATATATGTGATTGAAAAATCGCCTCAACGACATATTCTGGCACATCCCAAAGTCAGACTTTTTATTACAAACGGAGGTCTCTTGAGTGTTATGGAGGCGGTGGACAGTGGAGTTCCCATGCTGGGACTACCAATCTTTTTTGACCAGTTTGGTAATTTGCGATGGGGCCAGACAGCAGGCATGGCCGAGGTATTGGACATAAACAACCTTAAGGAAGAAACTCTAACCAACACCATTCGGGAGCTGATTGATAACCCCAAGTACACTCTGAGGGCTAAGAAAATGTCGAAAACTTTTAATGATCGACCCATGAGTCCCTTGGATACGGCGGTTTGGTGGACGGAGTACGCTTTGCGAAATCGGGATGTATCACACATTCGTCTAAAAGTGGAGGAGATTCCACTTTTCCTCTACTATAGAATAGACCACATTGTCCCTTTTTTCCTTCGATTTGGATTGATCGCGGCATCGGTGATCTTTTTGGGCTTAGTTTTCTTCAGAAAATGTGTGTAAGGCGATTTAATAAATCGAATGTATTTCAACCTTAGAATAAAGTGAAAAATGGTTAATCTTTTAGCCGTGTCCATATTTTCTTTTATTTATTTTTAATAATAATAGGTGATTTTTGAACCCTTCGCCTTTTGTTGTCTTGTTATATTATTTAAAGCTTAACAGATTTTTTACGGTGTAAAGAAAAACAGCTGACACCTAATAATAGCATTTATTGCAGAGAAATAAGTACTCTCTTTAAAAGCAGTTGAGTTCTCAGTTAATGCTCACCGATTCAACGACAAATTTTTGGTTTCCTCGTCACCTTAGATTAGATTGCGCTCATTTGTTAACTTTACTCCGACATGAGCGGACTGCATTTTTAAAAATGCGCCTCGGATTTTCTTGGCTGGTGGTTATCCTGTACCTGTTACTTCAACAGGATATTCATCAGGATGTGGCAGAGGCAGCTAACATCCTGGGAATATTTTCCTACCACCTTAGTTCGCATTTTCTGGTTCTACGATCGTTTTCAAGAGCCCTTGTTGAACGAGGTCACAACGTAACATTGATTACACCAGAGGGAATGCCGCCCGATATCGATGGAGTTCGACATATTCGCATTCCCAAGCTTAACAAACGCGTTCAAGGTAAGTTAACAAGTGTAGTTACATCCAAGAGATATATTAAAAATATTTGAAATGATTTAAAAACGCAGAAATCATAGAGTCCGACCAGTTTTTGGACTTCTTTGGTAACAAATGGATTGAGAGCGTGCTGGCCGTTTCAATGCTTTTCAACATGTCCCACGATATCCTAAGTGACGATGCTGTTCAGCGGATGCTACGAGATGGGAGTGAACATTTCGACCTGGTCATGATGGAGCCATCTGGTCTAGAGGCCCTATATGGCCTGGTGGAGTACTACAATGCCACTCTGATAGGATTGTCCGGGGGAACTGTTAGCTGGAAAACTGAAGCACTTGCTGGAAACCCGGCTCCAAGCATCTACGAACCCATCTCCCCGATTGGCTATTCATGGAATCCCTCGTTCATGAGCAAGATTTACAACTGGATCCATATCACCGAGGAAAAGCTGCTGGAGGGTCTGATCGTTCGGCCGGCCCAACTGCGCCTCTTCAAGAAGATCTTTGGTTACTCGGACCTGAAGTTTAATGAACTGCGCCGCAAGTTCTCGGTGATCTTAATCAACAACCATTTCAGTATGGGCAGAGTGCGAGCCAATGTTCCCAATATAATAGAGGTTGGAGGACTACATCTCAGTGAACCCCCGGAACCATGTGATAAGGAACTGCAGAGATTTTTGGACGAGGCGGAGCACGGCGTCATCTACTTTTCGATGGGAATGGATATCTTGGTGCAGCTTCTGCCAGAAAATATGCAGCATCAATTAATACAATCATTTGCCCAACTAGAGCAGAGGATTGTTTGGAAGAATGAGCTATTCAATATACCCAACAAATCGGAAAACATACATCTGATTAAAAAAGCACCCCAGCGCCACCTTCTTGCCCATTCCAATGTCCGGCTTTTCATCACAAACGGAGGATTACTGAGTGTCATGGAGGCGGTTGACAGTGGAGTTCCGATGCTGGGATTACCAGTGTTCTTTGACCAGTTTATTATTTTGCAGTACGTTAAGCAAGGCGGAATGGCCGAAGTCTTGGACGCCAACGCTTTAAATGCTGAAATTCTAACCAAGAGCATTAGAGAGCTGCTAGAAAACCCTAAATATACACTCATGGCCAAGAAAATGGATCCTTTAGGGATCGACCCATGAGTCCTCTGGATACGGCAGTTTGGTGGACGGAGTACGTCTTACGCAATCGGGATGCCACACACATGCGCCTCAATGTAGATGAAGTTTCCCCTTTGCGGTACTACGGATTGGATTGGCTGCTCCCATTTGGTTTCCGTTTCGGAATCGTCTTAGTATCTGTAATCTATCTTTGTTACAAAATATTCCAGAAAAATAGGGAAAGACAGCGTGGAAGGCAGGAAAGAGGGAGTGGTTCTCTGCAGTTGCTTAAATTATGATCTTAAATACATTAGTTTTATAGCAGATATGGGTATTGGGTCATGTTATTCCTTACCTTTTGATGTTAATTAAAATTCGGTTTATTAACAATTTGATCTCAAAAGTGTGCTTTAAAATCATTCGTTGGTGCTGAATTTGAAGCATAAGTTTAGTCGTTACTTAAAATCATATTGTGAGCAACTGCCTATCTTATCTAAACAGCTATTTGCTATGCAGAAGCTTTAAATTGTAATTGACGGTTCTTTATAGATACATAAATAAATTTTTAAAAATTGCAGGCTTTGTTTTATAGTAAAAATAAGAATAGAAATTTGTTAATGAAAATAAGTAAGCTAAAATTGTTTTACTATAGTAGAAAGATATCTCACAAATGTTCTTATACCCGTTAATCGTAGAGCGTTTTCTCTTGATAAGAGAAGTAAAGGTTAGTATGTGTTTAATGGAAAACAGTTTTAATGATATTTTATAACTTGTAAACTCATTATAATAAACTTTTAATCTGGAAGCGAGATCATCCAGTTGTCCTTGATATGTGGCTTCCTCAGAGGATGCACTACAGGTTCAGCCTTTCACCAGGCACGCTTACTGCAAATCTTCCCATCTTTATTTAGATCTTGCTGGCAGCCTAAAGTCTTTAAGTTCTTAGTGTAACTTTCGTGTGCCATGGTAATTGACGCTTTGGCAAATATTTGGGGCAAACAGTAACGACAATTCGTGACACACATTTTCGGGGCAGAACAGACACACAACTGCTGGCAGAATGCACAAAATATGAATTCATGAACAGAAGTGAATATTATTGTGGTGGTTTTCGGTGTGTTTTTAATTTTCCGTTTCGAGGTTTATTTGCACAGTGCGGTGGCATTCTTTTGTTTACGATCTGCGCTTGGCTAAATATTAAATCCGGCTGCCGAGCACCGAAGTGAGAACAATTGCCAACGAGGTCACCAGCCTCCGAGAACGATTAATTAGTGGTACTGATACTGCATATACTATTACCGAAGATTCCCCGCTTAATTGTTCCGCTAATACCTCAACTAAATCGACTTGGGCAACCGTTTTGTTAATTAGTCGCGTTTTCTTGAAAATCTCATTTCCATCCGGCGTCTGGCATTAATTGTTAACTTTACATTACGCTCGCCGAGTCGCCTTTACAGTTGTCATTTCATTGCCAATGGCCAGCTTATTTTCCACATCGAAATCGCATTGCCTTGGCTTATTGTGCCACAGATTATTAGTTGCATCCTTGATCTCAAACGGTAAACGAGACTGGCCATCTCTAACCCCAGTGTCAACTGCTTTTCCGCGGGCCTCATAAACGGGTTCAATTTCACGTGCCCATAGTGGTGGCCACTGGCAAATGAGCCAAGTTTTTGGATGTGTTCGCCTGAAAATTACCAAAAAGGGGGGGCTGGCATAAGAATATGCCTGTTTTGGGGTGGCCACCAATTGCCAAAATTGAAATAGAAATATAATTTTGCATAATTATGCGTGAGCCGGCGTGACTGCGTTACCAAAATGAGTACGACCATAATTTAAGACCACAGAAACCGAGCTATTCAAACAAACTGTTAATCTGCTGGCCGAAAGCGAATATATAACACCTAGCCAAGGGAATACCCTTTCATCCATTAGCTTTATATTTTTTTCTAGAAATATTTAATTACTGAAAAACAATCAATCATTTGGAGGCTATTTTATATAAAAATGCCAATGGTGTTTGATTCTTCCCTATATTATGGGATCTTTAAACCAAACAAATCTATAATAACCAATCTATAGTTTTGTCAAGGTACAAAAAGTTTAATGGTGGACGCTCTTGGATTTCTCAATGCCTTAACTTTTTAGAAAATCTTTTATAATGAATCTGTAATATACAAAATCTATAACATCCTATATTAGTAATATCTATCTATATTATCCAAAATATACTTTTTCGAAGGTAAAAATAAAGTTGTGAACTTTAAACTCTTGCATTTTCTGAGGCCTTTATTTTATAGTAATTCTAAAGTAGACAAAAATTAAAAATTTTATGGTACACATAAAAGTAGTAGCTTCTTTTAAGCAACATAATGCCTTCTTATGTTCAAATTAAGGAAACAGAAATCCGCCAAGGTGAGTCCAGAATTTCTGAGGTAAAAGCTGAGCCATCTACGAATTCCGCTCATGTCGTACAACCATTTTTACAGATCAGCCAGACTGCTGGCCATGTTTTGCATGCCGCAATGGGTTAAGGTATAAGCCGGGGCAATTTGACGCTTAAGCGCACCGCTGCACAGTCGCAGCCTCAGTTTGTCGGCGACAGTCGAACGTGGAGCACGAAATATTCCGGTACGCGAGGAGTCCGAATTTGAAATCGAAATTGAAGCCGAAATCGAATCGAATTGAGTTAAAGTTGAATCAAAGTGGCGGGCCAAAGACTCGGGCCACAAACTTGAACTTGCCCAACACTCGAGTTACAAAGCCAATTACATAGTGCAGCGAAAAGTGTTCAAGTGCTTGAAATGGTGATCAAAGTAATGCCCAGAATTAATCAAAGAAATGAAAACGATTTAATGCCATCAAGTTGACACATTTACCAGTTGAATCTGTTGAAAATTGCGCACTGCAGTTGATGTCTTGTTGAGTCATTCATTCAGCAGGGTTCAAGAAAAATATGTGTGTCAAATATTTGTCTGTTTGCTGGTGAAATATTTGCACAGCCCCAGCTTTTGTTAATGAAACTTGGGGCCTCTGTGGGCATAAATAAGCAGATGCCTTTCGAATGTGCCTGGCGAATTGGAAAATAGTTTCGAATTAGTTCCGTTTTGCTGGCTGGCTAACTGGCTGGCTGTCCCGGCTACTTATATAATGGGTCAAGCGAAATTTACTGTTAAACGGCGCACGCCAAAAACCACTGGGCCATCATCTTTTGGCCAACTCTCGCTTTCTCACACCTCTGTATCTCTCTTTCTCGGGGCTTATCTCTTCATTTCACTTCTCTCCAGCTATTTGGCTTAATTTTTTCATGTTATTTTCTCACTCAATATTTACCTTT